CGTGGCTCTCGTCGTGGAGGGCGCAGAGAAAACGACGAAAACAAATCGATAACATGTGGCAGTGCGGGCCCCACCGCGAACGCGCTTACGGTGGAAGCTAGGAAACCATCCTAAGAAATCGTTTCTTGTGTTTTTAAGGACACAATGTCTTGGTCCTCATAATTTTGGCCTACCCTGTAGAATTCTATCGTGTCCATCGTTTTACCATTGTCGTGCCTGGTGTAGCCAAGTGCCCATTTCCACGTCTGCCCTGGTCTGATGTAACAAAGAAGCCATGAAATTGGAAGGAATAGTTGGTCTTAATTCCCTTTTGATTCATAAATTCAAGGAAATTTATTGTGCAATCATTTGGAACATATACTGTAACATAAATGGACATCTCAACTATTTTTATAATATGTTCTCATTCTTTTCAGGAACGAATGTGGACGAGGCTCGACGTATTATGCAGCAATCAGGACTACCGATTATCACAGCTGATAATCTCGCAGACGCTGCTGAAAAAGCGGTTGCAGCTCTTGGTTAAGCCCAGTCTAGTATCATTCCTCTTTCTGCAGAGCAGCCAATCGAAACACATTCTCATTATAATGACTAGATAGAATTTCTTCAAGTTATTGGATGCTTTGATAATCCCTATAAGATTTATCTGTCACTCGCGGATTCCTGCAGATATTTTCGCGATCACAGCTGGAATCTGTCTCCCTTAGAGTACTACGGTAGGGTATGAAGAAGCTCTCGATGTCAGTTTTGGCCTGGCAGCTTACCTACTGACTTGGATCTTATAGTTTCGAAATTTCTACTTCACTTGCTCATCACTTACCTTGTACTGAATGCCGTAAAGAGCTGATTTGCTGGCATTCCGTGATTCGCTTGTGTACCTCACTGAGTGCAACAGAGGTTTTCTGTTTTCCTTTCTAGTTCCCATTGGCTTTTCTTCATTTTTACTAGTTCATCGCCTCACCCATCGCTGCAGAGGTGTTATCTGAAATCAAAAATCCTTTGTGTTTCTAGTGTCCATGATCATAGCTTACGAGTTCGGAATTACTCTTTCATCATCGCAATTTTCAACTTTAGATGTACTTTGAATTTTTGGACGTGTTTATCAATAAAGCTTAGCTGTAGATGTGTCGAAACTGATTGTGTTGGACATGCAGTGAGAAGTAGGAAAAAGTGGGTGCTTCTCCGCTACTCCAACTTGGTCATGAGTGGTGCATTTCGCCTACACTCCACCATCTCCCGATGGCCGTTGATATTGGGTTGTCTCATAATTCCTGTCTCAATTTCGACACTTTTGTTTATTCAAGTTTTATCTCTTCTAGGAAACAACTGATCAATAGCATAACCACCATCATGGTCACTGATATGCGTGCATTTGCTAGTGGCGTTTGGAAGCTTCCAGCCCAGAATGAAGGAAGCTGGGGGTTGAAGAATTTGGAGAAGTCGTTTTTGGGGTGGTCGCAATCTTTAACTTTCTTCTCTGGCAGATGCTTATTCAGGGCGCAGGGGAGGCGATAGTCCGACAGAGCGATGCCAATGCTATATGGTGGATGAGGTATCGTGGCCCTGGCTATCTCCCCCAGAACGTGGTGAGTTGGCATTGCAATGTGAGGTCTGGCGTACATTCGGAGAAAGGAGAATCTGAGACGTTTCTGACGATTCCCTCGCAACCCCGAAGCCAGCCTAGAGGGCTATTCCGCGCTGACTTTAGCAATGCTTGTCTTCATACATTGAAGTGGTTCCCAAACCAGGCCACCTAGCGAATCCAACAAAACGAGAGCGATATTCTCAGAAAACGGAGTTCGGGCTTTGGTTGAGCTGGTGCTTCCTGGCTGCGAGGCAGCCATCAGACGTGCCGCATGTTGTTGTCGCAGTGGACTCATGACTCATTTCCACCGGTGACCGATTAGGGAAGGCTCTGCTTTTGCCGTCCAAGAATGGGTTTTCCCCAGATGGTCAGGCGTGCTTCCCGCTCATGGTCGGCCGGACCATAAGGTTTCCATCAAAACTTCATTCTGCAGCAGTCCTTGCCATACTGATGGCGTGTGCTGGTGCATCGGCTGCGCTCAGGTATCTGCTACAATACCCTGGTAGCAACGTGCGGAGGCACTCCCAATTTAGGGTGCAAGGGGCGCTCATCAAAAATGACCGCAGGCCCAGTATGAGGTTGAAGTTCATAGCTCGTTTCGTCTTTGCCGTTGCGATTGGTCCACTAGCTCAGTACCCTATCAGTAGCAGAGACTGAGTCAAACACAGCGCTGTCTTCTCTGTTGTCCTCCTTGCTACAGAGTTCATTTGAGGATCGTAAAGCATAAGTTTTAACACGTACAGGTAAGGCCTATGGAACGAAATTGTCCGGATATGTGCAGGTAATATAATAAGTCACCATTATCGAGTATGTGTTCAGTGCCTCAACCAGCAGCAAAGAATGCACGTGCCTTTTCTATCGCCATCAACACAAGTGCTGTGACGTCACACTTCTATAGTGAACACCTTGATGGATTCAACAAGATTTTCAATGGAAAGCTCTTGAAGGCATTGATTGTGATGCCTTGGAAGTTAATTTGGGCACGTCTTTGATGAGGGCTTTAGGGGGTGAAACCACTTTCAACGGCCATCATAATGAATGGATGGGGAGGTACATCTACCAACTTTCATCGATATTACCCTCTGCTTCCGAACACCAGATGCACGTCAACTGCAGACCACGACACGAGTGATGACGGCCTCCAAAAAATGTCATATTATTCCGCTACCCAAGAATGACGTGAGCGAAGGTCGCAGTAGCACTCGAGTCAAGTTGTCATTAACTATTTTGCCGTTTATCTATATCATCTATTTCTATGAACCACTAGTACCGAAATTTATTTGGAGGCCGTCGCCGCTTATGGTGTCTGGATCTGCATCCGACACGCATCTGGTTCCCGAAAGCAGAATATATCTACACTGTTGTGGAAAGAATTGTAGCGATGCTTCAACAAGTTCATGTAAGGCTGTTTCACGATCGCATCCCTTATGCATGTGGGAACTGTGTCACAAGCGTTCAAGTATTTATCAACGGGTTTTCGATTCAAGCAACAATAGTCGAAACGCACCTTAAAACGAAGCAATCTGTACCGGTATATTGAGAAATCACGATGGAAAGCATGCAATGAAGATTCGAAGTAAATACATAGGAATGAGTTTATGATGCTTGGAGGTATATGTAATAAAATACTTCTAGATGAAAATCGTTGAGGACTGGAATTACGAACGTTAGTATCGTATCGATATGTGGTTATCTTGCAGCAGCGGTCATCTGCAGCATTTCGGTGGCCCATCGAAACACGAGCTCTTGCTCAGGGTTCACTGTCGAAAGATCCAACGGTGTCGATTTCTGAAACGGTATCCAGTTGAAAGTTCCTTTAGATATTTCTTCGCAAATATGAATAGAATAATATTAGGAAGTGAATATCTAAACGATTTCGAAATGATGAAAATTATGTATTTAGCAGCCAGCGTAAGAAGAGGGAAGTAGGTGTTATCTGGGGATGATCACCCTCAGAAAGAACCGATTGCCGAATGCAAAAATAAAGCCGGTGTGATCAGCAGCCTGGACACGCCATCCGATGACCTCCCTCGAATCGTGCGCACAGCGATCTCTTCAAATTGCCAAGAGCGATTTGTCTATGTTGATGGAGCCTTAACATTCGAGATTTTCTTGACCTTTGGCGAAAGGCCTTCATTCGTGGACATCACAAGTTGACACGGGCGCCTCTTGGCCCAACAATGACCAGGAGTGAGCAGGACATCGTGGCCCTATGAATTAAAATTTAAAGATGCAGCCCACCTCAGCAAAATGTCCATAGGTGAAATTATTGGACCTCTGCACAATGAGGTTGACAACAATAGATTTTCCCTTTTCCCCCCCGGTTCTCCGTCGTGAGTCAAATCATGCGCAAAGGTGTTATGGTCTCAGGACTTGTATTAGAGCACGCCTTTGAGACTTCAGTTTGCGGGAGAGGGGGGGGGGGACTCCCTGTTATCTTATCCAAGTATTGGAGAGCACCACTTCAGAGTTTAACTCTATGGATGAGATAATATGTAGGTAAACAATTCATTTCAAGAGCACTTCTCGTAAGGACCGGTGTACATCACGTAAATCCTGCTCACATCCTGGGCAATTTATAGCGCCCACCCTAGGACTCCTACACCCTTGCGCCTAAGAAACGATCTCCATACCCTGGTTCAGGATCATTTCCTTGGACCACAGAATGCCAAAATCTGAAAGCACCTTAGGAGTACTTTCACAATACACCGGTCCTTATTAGAAGTAATTTTAAAGGAAGTGGTCACGGAAATTCCTATGGAGACGATAGAGAAAGTGACATAGTGGATTGGGTAGGGGTCCTACCCAATGGGACGACAGGTGACGCTTCAGGGGCAGTGGCGCCTTATCAACGGCGTGATAAGGCGCCGAAACCCACTTCCGGTTCGGCGTTACACCTCCTTATCAGACGTGGAAGGGATGCAAGTAGCAGCGTGCTAGATATGATACGGTTATCGTTATCGTTCGATTTTCATGCTGGAGTGCACCTCATTCTAAGCAGTATGCGTCTTATGGCGCGATCCGTTGGCAATGGAGCGCACAGGCCCTCAACTGCCACATCCTGCTGTGGCCGGACAACTCGTCCGCGCAGCACATTCCGTTCTGTTCCTCTTACCTTGGCATCAGGCCAACAGAACTTATCTGCTCTCATTTTCTCAGCTTAGAGACTCAGCGAGGTTTTGGAGACCCAATTTATCAGATCGATCAGTTACTGAAGCTAATAGTTGAAGTGAATGCGGACGAGTTTTTTGTTTTCCCCCGGGGGGCCAGCAGCAGGATGAGGCAATTGGCGGCCTTATGCGCTCTATCCCAAAGTGGATGCGCCAATATGACCGCCTCCCCATTCTAAGCAGTCGCATCTGCTTATCTAATCTTGTCGTGTCTTCCATAGGGTTACGCTGGTCCAACCACTATCTATCTCCTACCTTATCGGTTGATAACGCGGAGTTCGGCGATCCACGTGGAAGCCAGCGTAATCGCCCCTTTAAAGCACGATAACGTGTCATGAAAACTCTAATTTTATCCTTAGCATTCGAAAGCACAATGGAGTGGGCCCTCCAAAATGGAGTCTCACCGAGCACGCCTCGTGCAGCAAAGCACGCAAACCGTTGCATTATCTGCACCTCGCTCATCTATTATGCTATCTTGTCTCTAACTTTTTGCTCTCGCCCAGGACGTCCACCGTCTCTTGAAATGTGTTATCTGTCTGTCCATAGACTCGTCCATTTAACACGTTGACGACATTGTGCAGCGCATGCGCATCACACCTTGAGCACCGTGTGGGACCGTGTGCAGCGCATGCGCTGCACACACAAATTATTAATTTTTTCGCGCATGCGCTACTTCTTTTCTAACTTTTTGCATCTATTCTATAGACCATGTCATAATATAACTAGACACGCGAGGTCATCGAATGGTTGAATATGCTCCTTTTTAGCAAAGGTTTTCCAAGTCCTACGAATTTCCAATTGTGTTCATTCCTAGTTTTCTTTATATTCTGACAACCTCGGTCATAAAAAAAAGAGTATTGGAAGTAAGTACAGACCCACACATATGGCAAGATATATGTTGTTAATGGAGCAACCGTGTCAAAAATAATTTTGAGGTTTGCTACGACAAAAGCCACTGAAATTCCCTTTTCATTGCCAGAAAACGTCAATTTCGATCGAACTTTTACAGTTGTTCCTTCTGATAAGTTTGACACATCGAATATCATTCGAAACATTTGTTGCATCCGAGTTTTGCGTAGTTAAAGCTCAAAATTCACGGATTTTATGTGAGGCGGCGGCGCCTGCAAAATCGCCGTGGTCCCACGCGGTGCAAAAACCCAAAACGCGCGTTGTCGTCAACGTGTTAAAAGAGACGCTCACTTCGGTCATTTCATCAATCGCTATTCGCTTTTTCTCACTCAAAATCCACATCGAATTTTCAATTTCACTTTCGAGGTTATTTACTCTGACTCCGTCGGCGTGAGTGGTTGAAAAAGCGGACGAGCTTCGATGTCGAGTCTGGAGTGGCAAGCAAAAAAAGTATTTACCACACCTAACTGATCGTGATATGCATCACATAATGCCAAAAATCCAACGAATCCAACAATCGTTTTGATCCGTCGGGGGAAACATTTCTGCCATTAACATTTTTTATAATAAAAATAAAAAAGGATAAAGCATTTGCCGTTGATCAATCCCGTTTTGGGATGCGGCACGCATTCTACTTCCATTTGTACATTCGCAGTGGCGTTTGAATGCGATGTGGCCTATACAATGACTTGCGGGGGCCAGCCGATGTTCAAGTCAGTGTTTTTATCCTCCCAGACAAGTCTGGTACCAATTAACCGACCCCGGAGGGATGGAAGGCTTGGTTGGCCCGGGCGACTCACGACCCAGGATTTGATCCCGGACCGCTCGCGTGGTAAGCGTGCCACTTGCCACTACACCACTTCCGCCCAGGGTCAACCCTATCGTTGTTACTCTTCGGAAATTTTTTACGACCCCCCCCTTCAGGGGTGGTTTGATACGACCCCCCCCTTGTATGTAACACTTGTGTAGAGACAGTGTTTACCATCAATATTTATTTCTACGTAAGTCATCAAAGATGAAACTTTAGCAAAATCCACGACAGATATTCATCGCTGCTTCCAAACACGAAAAAATGAGATGCATTTCAAAGATATCCGTGTACTCCAAAGGGTTACCAAACTAGGAGATGAAATAAACTGAACCAGTGACCGGAATATTGACAATATTACCTGATAAAAACTTATGAGAAGTCAGAAAAAATTATCGCTCCAATTGAAATACTGAAATCCTTCACGTTCTTCAATTGCAACACAATTTTTACACCCCTCTTTCTAAGGCTATAACTTCCTTCATATTCGAGCTTCTGCGCCGAAGTGATTTGATTTGGAAAATTCAAATTATTCTCTCTCCAACCATGGGTAAAAATTCTTCGAAAGTTAATTTAATAAAAATTTAGTACGTTGTTACTTTTTTCTGTGCAAAGGCGACTTTTTGACCTTCAAACGATCATAACTTCCTTCAAAGTCATTCATTTGGGAAGCTGAACACGTATAATAAACTACAGGATTCAAGCTTTCTAACGAGCACCCAAGCGTTCCTGAAAGATCAGTAGTTCAAAAATTAGTCCCGTTGTTACTTTTTTGGGGGTTTGCGTTACTATTTTTTTGGAACCGCGACTTTTTTGACCTTCAAACGATCATAACTTCCTTCAAAGTCATTCATTTGGGAAGCTGAACACGGTGTAATAAACCACAGGTTTCAAGCTTTCTAACGAGCACCCAAGCGTTCTGAAAGATCAGCAGTTCAAAAATTAGCCCGTTGTTACTTTTTATTTTGAGGGGTATTCTTCAAGCCATTTTCTCGAAAACGCGAGTTTTCTTAGGTTTCACTGCCCGTAACTTCTTGGAAGACCAATTTTATGTTTAATTAGGATGTGCTAGAAAGCTCCGAGCATGCGCTTGCACTACATCCCTTGCCTTGGTGCGCGCCACGCCTCGGGCGCCCTTCTAATTCGCTGATTCATTTGAAAGCTCATTTAGAGGGAATCGTGGTTTATAGATGCTGTATCAGTCATCTTACGAAAACGTAACGTGCTGGCTATTATCCGATATTACCAAGAATCCCACTGTCGGCCACCGAGAGGGTACGACCCCCCTCCCTCCAAGCTCAACTGAGTACGACCCCCCGTTGTTACTCGTAACAACGTAGGGTTGACCCTGCTTCTGCCCCTTGCCATTTTTCTATACCATGGGAAATCACACGCATTTCTGTCCACTCTACAAAATGATGAATCAGTTGGTATGTGAGCCAACTGCAAAAGTTCCACTCCAAACGATCAGAGGAAAAGATTTAGCAAGCCAAACGTATAAACGTAGCGTACCACGTCCTATACCTACAAGTGAGGGACAGTGCTCTTTTGGAGCCGAATGCTTTGCTAAATCAAGTGTGACTTACTTGTGCAAACGAAGCGACGACAGAGATTAAGTGAGCGGCCAAAGTATAGTTCCTTGCCCGAAGGGCATTTCGAATGGAATCAAAAGCACGGCCTCCTTCGACAGGGCAAGAATGGTCGAAATAGATACCAGCGTTCGACCCTCATTCTCTTAGGTCGCCCCTTCATTTACGTGTTCTGCAAAGATAAATTGTCAGGAGAGTCAATTAAGACAAAATGTGAATCAAAGATACAATCAAAGGTACAAACCGATGCTGCCGAGGGACCAGTCGGCGGCTCTTGCCCACAGCATGGCCAGATTTTTGATTCGATGGAGCTTCTTCTCTTGTCTATAAACACCAACTTTTCAGAAAAAAAAAAACACATTTAGTAAAGTCAAGACTGAAAAATAAAAATCGAAAATATCATATAAATGGGGATTAAACTTATGAAGACAAATGTGGCCTATCCATTCAAACTTACTGTGGACTGACTGCCAGAAACAGATAGCAAGCAGATGCGATACTTAGCCTAAAGCAAAGGTCGGGCTCAGGCACGCTAGAGAAGTAATTCCCGTGCCTGGAGGTTGTATGTGGGTAGCTGCACACATTGCAGCAACTTCCCACCTTGAAAAACCCCGTTAAGGCCCCGGGGCGTTCGGTTTCAATCCAGGGCCGCCTGGTCAATCCAGGACCGCCCACCTCCGGAAGTGGTGCGTGGCTGGCATAACGTGTGAAATCAGCTAGGTTGATTGCCGTATCAACCGATAGAACGACTGACATCTCCAGAAAACTTGTTTGTACGTGCCTCTTTCCCAAGCCAGCCTCCTTCACTGCTAGTGGGAAAGAGGGTTTTGTTAACGGCCTTGTCGACGGTTTTTCTCAGTTTTTTCTCCACTGTCGTTCCACTTCGCATCTCTATACTCAGTTTCAATCGCCATAATA